TAATAGGCATTTAAGATGTTAAAATATAAAATGTATTCTGGTAGGGGTATGCAGGCAACTGGTAAATCTGGAAACGGGTACGCAATATGAAAGAGTTTGGGAACCTTTGTTCTAGAGCATTTCAACTAGCAACACCCAGTTGTGAATGGTTCTGGGGCCACATAATCAGTCTGTATTAAACTAAGTCAGGGGTGTTAAGTGTGTTTGCCCCTCCTCCCCTGAGCAGATTTGGCCAACAAGCCATATGTTTGACATCCTTGCCCTAACTGAAGTCAGCAAATATGCTCTGTTTTTAGACGACAACCTTCCCCCTCCACATCATTTGGCTACATGTGTTGCATTAGGGTAGTTACATTATTTCTGGCTCCAGGAAAGGTATATCCAATGCGCACACACAACCAATTTAAACATATTCAGTAAGAAGTCACAGGTGATAACTTGAAAAGCCACAATCTGTGAGTTATTAGCAGGAATCCTGTTTTTTCTGATTTAAAAATATCCCCAATTTTTTATTTAAAAAAAGTAACCCCAACTCCACATTTTTCCACGATTTAAATGAAACACCACATTTATACGTGTGTGTGTGTGTGCGCGCGCGCGTATGTATGTAGATATAAACCAAAAATTGGGGATTTTTTTTTTAAATCAGAGAAAACCAGGATTCCTGGTTATTAGTATCATTGTGAACTGGTAAGCTCATGTAGACATCAGTTCAACTTGACTCACGTTTTCATGTGACTATTACAGAATGTTTAAAATATTCTTCCTTCAACAACTGATGCAGTTGACTTCATGCGTTTATATTTTCTTGAACAGTAAAACAACACTGAGGAGTTTTACTTTCTGGTTCTCCAACAGTAACACAGTACCATTGTGTTTGGATTTTCAGCATTGAAGCAGAATGTTTCAACTTGAAAAATAAATAAATCTTATTCTTAGGCAAAGTGTCAAAGAAGTTTATAAAACCATTTTAAGTCCTCATGGGTTTAGTATGCAACTTGGCACATTTTTCTCTATTTTGCAAAATAGAAAAAAAGGTATGAAGCTTTAAGACCTCTCAACCAAAATTCACTCAAGTCATAGGCAACTGGTAGGGAGTGCACATGCCCCCCTTACGGGGTGGTGCCCCCTCTGACGGCCGACACTGATACTGTCGGCCGATACTTCTGTGGGTGCCCCCACCAGATTCAGGAGGCACCAGTTACTCATGACTCAAGTGAAATGGTTTGGGTTTGTAAAGAATGCAGGATTCAGTTAGTACTACTGTAATCCTACCTGTATCCCATACTTAAAAGCAAGCACGCATATAAATGTCTGAAGAAGCAGGATCTATGAAACTTTAGATTTATCTAGGAACTGCCTATCAACTTTTTCGCATGCTCATCCTGCTACCCCTCAAAGATTGTCTAAGAAGCTGAATGACTCTTGCTGTCTGTCACAGTCCATGATTACAGAAAGTTCCTTCAATTAAACTGCTGAGACTCAGTAATGAGATATATTTTCTGAGAATGATTCATATTGATCATCACATCATCTATGCTTAATTATTCACACAGCGCTCTCTAAACTCACAAAGTTCTGTCCTGGCTTGCAGTGAGATTAATATAAAATCTGTAAAGAGGATTGTCTGGGCACAGGCCAAGGCTGGATCAACATATAAGCATAACGCCTTGTGAGGACAAGCAACTTGCCACAGCCTGTCACAGAGTGAGACCAGAATCTCAACTTTCACTTCAGAAAATTCTCTAAGCCTCATGGATAAAAAGAAAACATGAACCGAGTGTAACTGATGCCAGCTTGCATCTGCAGACAGCCTGAAACAAGTTGAAGATTATACCATTTATTTTAAGTCTGAAGCCTGCTACCCAGTTTGGTAATGCTAAAGACCATCTAAACTTGCCTGTATTTTAAACACAGTTGTAGCAATATTCCTCAATTATGTGATAAAGCTGATTATGCTATTGTTTTACTTTAATATGTTATTCGTAATATATCAACTTTTTGGAGGAAGGATGGAGAGACTGGTTGGGGACGTAGGGAGTGACAGAATGAATGGGGAGAGCCACAGACCAGAATGCATACAATTGCACTTGCAAGGTGTAAATGTTTTGTTTTAATTTATCACATGGTTTACATTTTGCCCAAATAACTCACAGACAAATGCTGGAAACAATACCCAGCAGAAATAAATTATTCCTTACCATTCCTTAGGATCTCACTTTTGCTTATTTTACTCCAGTTTGGTGAAGCACTTCTGTTCCTGCAAACTGCCAATTCTCTAACTCCATTTCAAAACTTCTCTCTCTCTCTCTCTCTCTCTCTCTCTCTCTCTCTGTTGCATTCTTTTCCCCACCCCTTACTCCATGTATTTGCCTGAGAATAATGTGGTCATTTGGTATTTGGTTATGCACAGCACAGAAGGCTTGCACTGAGGTAGAAAAGGGCCTCTTGGGAAAGGAAGGAAGGAAGAGAAGCTCCAAACATATTATGGGTTAATAGGCTGGGTCACACCCATATGCACACAAAGGGTTCGGGGTATGTTCTGTTTTGGTCTTACCCTACCCCCAAAGAGCTGCCTCTTTCTCTCTTAAGTCAAGTGTTTTAAAGCTGCTGTCTTAGTTGAAGAGCAACTGAAACACACTCCAAGTGCAGGCATTAGCACCCTAGGTGGTGAACCTGGCTCTCATTATGCTTGTGACACTAACATTTTGCCGAAGTAACAGAACACATAGCCTACTTGACATAAGCCTGCCAACACATCACCCCAGGAAGGTAGGGAAACCACCAGCCAATTGCACTACCCAAGGCCCAGGAAAAAGCTGTGGAAAGGGGCAAGACATCACCCAACAGACTCCTTCATGGAAGAACCTCCAAATCATACCAATTCAATTCTTCAGATGCTTCCTCAGCCTGATGAAGGGTGTTTGTGCCCAAAAGCTTGCTAAGAAGACTGTTTCCTACTATTTGAGTTGGTCTAATAAAAGATATTGGAAGAGCCTTGTCTGCCTATGTCCTTAGACCAACACGGCTATAACCTATACCCCTGAACCAATTCAAATGAACACTCCCTAGGGCAACCAAATCCCCTACTTTAGAGCAATGAATCAGTCCCCAGTACCTCTTCATAATCCTCTTTTCCAGGCCAAATGCAGGTAGCCTGCTGCTCAGCCTTCTCTCCTTAGATCTTGGTCTCTCTACACTTCCTAGCTAGCAATGTGTCACTGACAGTATCTTCAACTCAGGCCTGATGTTGGTGGGAGCCTAAAAGATTCTGAACCCTTCCCCCCAGGTAGCTCAGACAGGAGCATTTATGCTGCTGGGTAATTCTTCACTCTTCTCTGCAAGCCCTGGAGACCTTCCTGCTTGGGACGAAGATGCTGGGAGAATCCACTCTGTACTGGGCCCAGCAAGCAAGCTACATGCAGTCCTCGGACTTACGACACAATTGGTTCCTGAAAACTACATTTTAAGTTGAAATGTAACTTGGAACCAATTTTCTCATAAGAAACATAAATGGGAGATTGGTTCCTGAAACAAGGCCCAATAGCCTATTTTCACTAAAAAATACCCCAGAATTTTGTACTCGATCAATTATAGATGAGTAATATAGCTACATTAACATATTTATATTGTAAATAGCCATCATATTGGTTTGGTAGGAATTCTTTGAGGTGACTTTGCTGGACTTTTTGAAAAGCTCTTGGTTGGACTTTTTGAAGGGTTCTTGGCTGAAGTCTTCTCAGGAGTCTTGGCTGCAGGTTTTTCTGGAATCTTGTCTGCTTTCTTAAAGAAAGTGTCCAAGGCAGTTTGGACAGATGTTCTCCAGGGAGATGAGCGACGCGGTGAACTTGTTTGCTGGCGTGGAGTCGAATCGGATCAAGCATTGTAAAGTCGAACAATGCTTGGTGTCAACAGGGTGTCAATTTATAAACGTTGTATGTGCGAAACGTTGTAATTCGAAACGCTGTAAGTTGAGGACTGCCTGTACTTCCTTTTTCCAAAGCATGTTAGAACATGGCAGGTTAAAAGAAACACTCCGGTGGTGCTGCCAAACTACTAGCAAGAGACAGCTAAGAACCCCCCTGAGGAGAGGAGCCTGGGGTTGAAAGATTTAGAGAGACCAGCCTTGCACAACCAATTTTTTTGTTTTTTCCTTTTAAGATTGCTCTTAATGGGGCCAGGCCTCCATGTGAGATTAATTGCTCTTTACTCAGGTGGGCCAGTGCAATCCTGGCATCATGCATTGTGCTTGCACAAGGTGCTGAAACAAATCCAAGCTTTCTTTTACACTGGAGAAACTTAAGTCTGGTTTCAAATGTCATGGTGAAGACCCCATCCCAGTGCTTCACAGGCAGCAGGGGCGAGTTAGCCAGCCAAAAAAAACCTCCCTGGAGTAAAGCCAGGCCTTGTTGCCAGGTTATTCTCACGTCACAGACACTAGCTTGCTCTTCACTTGCTGAAACCCAAGCTGGACCCTTCCCTTTTAAAATATGTGATTGGCACAAAGGAGAAACAACCACAGCTGCACCGAAGATAAAGAAAGGTCTGACACCGCATGGGATGCATGTCTTTAGCCAGGGGGAAACTTTTCCAGAAATTCTGCTCCGTGATTCAGTGTTGTTTTATGTCGGCAGCTGCGAGGGTCAGACAGAAACCTGAGACCATCTCAAAAGGAACCAAATCGCAACTGTGGTCGAGGTGATATCTTTTATTAGACCATCAGGATTTTTACAAAAACTAGTTGGTCTAATAAAAGGGATCGCCTCTACCACGAGTCCTGATCGCTTTTGCCTCTACACCCATACGGCTACAGCCTGGATACCTGACACATCAAACAGAACCAGGCCCCTGGCATCCTTGAGAAAACCCCGAGAGGGGATCAGAAAAGCTACGAAATGGCCAGGCCTTGTCCTACAGAAGAAGGGGAAGAGCAAGACACAGGCACTGAAACGTGAAACACGAAAGGGCTGCAAAGGAAAGCCAGGAAGGACCCCACTCACACGCGCTGGAAAAGCCCCTTTGAGGCGCAGCGACGGGCCCAGGCGCTGCGCTGCGCGGCCCCTCCCCCACCGCCCACTCGACTCGACTCGACTCGGCTCAGGGCCTCGGAAGGGGGCGGGGCCTGGAGAGCGAGAGCGAGAGCGAGGCCTAGAGGGCGGGGCGCGCGGCAGGAGGTTCCGGCGTCGCGGCGCGGTGACGTGTGCGTCGGCGGGGGACGGCGCGGCGGGCGGGGGGCCGGGCCCGTGGGTG